TACTGCAGAAAACTATTCACCTGCCCCACATTTCACAACTCAACACGGCTGCTTTTGTATATTTGATGTAAGTCTTATTTTATAATTTATTACCACAGAAAATATTTAACATATTGTGAAAGATAACTAGACATTATATTTGAATGTTAGGCTAAGGTTACCTTGACCTTGAAATCCATTATTAGTGAGAAAGAGAAAGATGTCCAGACTTCACTTCATCTATATCAGAACCAAACACACCTGCAGAATAAACAGAAACAGTTTTCTCAGAGATTAAACCAGGGCCAGACTGGGATGTAATTTCAGGCCGGGAAATCTCACACTCATCCAGGCCACACAGAAAAAGAGAGGCCAAAATTGTACCTTTGGGGTACAACAGCTTGACACTGTAACAGTACTCTTAAAAGGACATCTTTGTACCTTTTTAACCCCTAATAGGAACATATTAGTACCTTAGAGTAGTAATTTGTACCCTTAAGGTACTAATTTGTATGCCTACCTATTAGGGGTAAAAAATGAACAAATATGTCCTTTTAAGAGTACTGTTCCAGTGACAAGCTGTTGTACCCCAAAAGGTGCGATTTTGGCCCCTTTTTCTGAATATAGCCTATACATCCACAACAATTTCTGAAACCACAGACAACCCTATTATTTGTATGGCCATCACATAAAAAGGTCTAAATCCTTGGTCTGGGGCCGTGGAAAATAATAAAAGGTTCTTTCTTGCACTGCACTTTCACTTCCATTTCCCTCTTCTTCATTTTCCCCCACACACACACACACCCCCCGCCCACCCAATCCTGCATTTATTTGATCCAAAGTACAGCAAGACCAGTAAAATTGTGAAATATTTTTACTATTTAAAATAACTGCTTTCGATTGGATTATATTTTAAAATGTAATTTATTTCTGTGATCAAAAAGCTGAATTTTCAGCACCATTACTGCAGACTTCAGTGTCACATGATCCTTCAGAAATCATTCTAATATGCTGATTTGCTGCTCAAGAAACATATTTGTTGTTGTTATTATTATTATTATCAATATTTAAAACAGTTGAGTACATTTTTTCAGGATTCTTTGATGAATAGAAAGATCCAAAGATCAGCATTTATCTGAAATAAAAAGCTTTTGAAACATTATACATGCACTTCATTTCAAAAGCTTGGAGTCAGTATAATTTTTTTATTAGAAATTACTTTTATTTAGCAAGGATGCTTTAAATTGATTAAAAGTGATGATAAAGACATTTATAATGTTACAAAAGATTTCTATTTCAGATAAATGCTGTTCTTCTGAACTTTCTATTCAACAAAGAAACCTGAAAAAAAAGAATCGGTTTTCAACGTAATAATAATAATAAATGTTTTTTTTAGCAGCAAATCAGCATATTAGAATGATTTCTGAAGGATCATGTGACACTGAAGACTGGAGTAATGATGCTGAAAATTCAGCTTCGAAATCACAGGAATAAATTACAGTTTAAAATATATTCAAATAGAAATAAAAATATTTCACAATATTGCTATTTTTGCTGTATTTTGGATCAAATAAATGCAGGCGTGGTGAGCAGAAGAGACTTCTTTTAAAAACATTAAAAATCGTACTGATTGAAACCTTTTGACTGGTAGTGTATTAGAACACAATTTCTGAAGTGCCCAAATGTCAAAATTAGTACAATATACTTGTTGAAAAATTCTAATATTGAACACACTATTGAATTATTAGGCTGTTACTCATATTATTTTTGTGTTGCTGTCTGCTCTAGCTCCCTCCCTCCCTGTACAATAAATCCATGTGAATATCTGTCTCTGCTAAATTTTTTAATGTAACTTTACAATCGATACTGATGTCCTTTAGCAAAATAGCTACTATTCTGAATGATGATGATAATGGGGTTGCTACTGATAGCCTAACAGATACTAGCAGTTTAATACTCAACTAGGTTAATAAAGACAAAACTATCCAACGTATTTACAGATGAAACTGACCTGCACTTGACAAGGCATAAATATAAAATATTAATGATAATAATAACTTTTTTTTTAAAAAGAAAAGGAAAAAAACCCGGCAGCGGGCCAAATCAGCCGCCACGCCACCGGGAATTCTCCCGGTGCTCCCGATGGCCAGTCCGGGCCTGGGTTAAACTCATATAATACTGCTTGTAATGCTAGTGAACAGCTAGCTAACTGAGATCATTTAGTCTTGCCTGATGAGGTGTAATTTCACCAAGGAAAGAAAGAAAACCTGGAATCTGGAACTTCGCCAGTGCATTTGGATGCATGCGACACTGACGCTGACGCTGACGCTGACTGGCAATGTTAATATGAAAATAAACTTGAGGAAAAATGCAACATCATAAATATAAAATATTAATGATAATAATAACTTTTTTTTTTAAAAGAAAAGGAAAAAAAAACGGCAGCGGGCCAAATCAGCCGCCAGGCCACCGGGAATTCTCCCGGTGCTCCCGATGGCCAGTCCGGGCCTGGGTTAAACTCATATAATACTGCTTGTAATGCTAGTGAACAGCTAGCTAACTGAGATCATTTAGTCTTGCCTGATGAGGTGTAATTTCACCAAGGAAAGAAAGAAAACCTGGAATCTGGAACTTCGCCAGTGCATTTGGATGCATGCGACACTGACGCTGACGCTGACGCTGACTGGCAATGTTAATATGAAAATAAACTTGAGGAAAAATGCAACATTAGCCAGTGAACAAATGAACGGCGTCAACGTGAAACCGAAAATAGTTTTTATGCACAAACTGCACATTATCAGCAAAAACAGAACGATTTTGAAACTCATCTTCATAATGTTGAAGATTCCAGCAAAATCTGAGTTCGATGGATATTATTAATGCTCGCTTGATCTTTATCTCTCATAACATTTTAGCACATTTTTGCATTCATGGCTGTTGAACCCTGTAATCCACAGATGTCTGATCTGATTAAGTATCTCTATTGTTAAATTTGTTGTTTGGTTCAGTCTTAGTTTCTATGCTCCCCACAAACCATAATCAAACTCCGAAGACCAAATAAACCACCGACATAAGCTGCATCACTGAATCAACACATGGAAAGCTTTTTTTTTTTTTTTTAAAGAAATGAGTTCAATACAAAAATCTGAATGATTCACATTAACAAAACATCATTTTGGGTCTTTACAAGAACAGAGTTAAATGCAGACATGCAGCCTAGACTGAAAGGTGATATGTTGATGGGTCATAAACCCCTGATAGGCAACTTTTTACCTTTAGTCTAAATAAATCTTAACATTCACAATAAACATCAATTCTAAATGGTACAAATGTCAAGTAAAGCAACAGTAATACTGCAAAAGAGAATCATATTCATTCAATCAGAATTCATTTGTGTTCTCATACGTTGTCTGCTTTATAAATGTCCATTTGCTCTACATTGATCACTTGCTACTCTGTTTGCACAGAAATACATGTCTTATTCGTGTACTGTAACAGTCTTCAGATTGTTGTATTGAATTCATCTCTTGCTGAAATCTTTTCAGTGACAGATGCAGCTGATGTCAGTGGTTTTAGTTGGTCTGTGGAGTTTGATTGCGATTTGTGGAAAGCAGAGAGACACTGACTGAACCAAACAAGGATTTTATCAGCTGAACACAATGGAGATACTTGATCAGACCAAACATCTGTAGATCAGTATAAGTCAGGAAACCAGTGGGGCTCAACAGCCATGAATACAACAATGTTCTAAAACAATCTTAATGAGAGTCAAATATATACTGAAGAACAAACTAAAGGTCATGCATTCACGCATTTATTTTTGTGACTGCGCTGCTCAGTTCTTTTTTCGTCTTCTCATTTCACACTCAGCGTTTCATTCTGAAACTTCTCGGAAGGGTGTGTTTTTAATGATACATTTAAGTTGTGCTACTTTTTAAAAGATATATATTTTCATCTATAGTTTTTCTTTTTAATGACCTGGTGGTGTCTGTAGTATTTTCTGGATAAAAAGTGATTTAGTTGTAAAATAATAATGTTATTTATGTTACTAATGTTAGCCAGTGGGATATTGTGTAATAGATCTGCAAATATCAATGGTTGTATTCTGTATTCTCAGTTCTTGTTTGGTGCTCATGTGGAAGCTACATAAAGACACCGTGCTGAAATAGTTTTTAACACATTTTATATTAAATTTCATTAGTCATGCAACAAATTGAAAATGCAAAACTGTTCATGGATTGATTTAAACTTGGAAATATTGAGACTTAACAGACTACAGATTTTACAATCAAAAGTGAGCACAGATGAATGATGGTGTTGTGTTTGCAAACATGGTACATTTTTCCAGTGGTCAGAAATGAGGCCTACGAATTTGATTATATAAAAGGATGTTTATTTAATATTGTAAAAAAGGAATAAAAACAATATGAAATATACTGCATAATAATTTTCTTGCATAGCAACTCTTAAGAATTTTTACACTAGGCTATCACATTGAGAGAGATTACAGATGTTAGTGAAAGAGACATACAGAGCCATATATTTATTTAGCATTTTAATCTAATAGTGATTGCAATGGGTTTGCAAGGCACTATTCTTTGCAAAGGGAAAAAAAGTAACGTAAGAGCGGATGCTTTGTATGAATGTGAATGTGCGAAGTGCGAGGCTGCAAGTGTAATTCGCTTTGCCTAGTTATTTTAGCTGTACAATCACTCCGTTATGCTGCTTGTTATTACAAACTTGTATATTTCTAACCGTTTTAAAATTGTATTCATAAACAGACTGGTTTATTGCATCTTGGTAATCGGTTAGTTATTTACCTAAATCGGCGAATGAATCGGAAGTCTCGCACAGACAATAGCTTTTTTCCCTTCCAAACTTATATTTTTTCCACCGGATTGAAATGATATTTTCTTAAAGGGGTCATATGATGCTTTTTTAAAGATCATTATTTTGTGTATTTGGTGTAACAGAATATGTTGACATGCTTTAATGTTCAAAAAACACATTATTTTTCAAATACTGTACATTATTGTAGGTCCTCTATGCCCCGCCTCTCTCAAACGCTTCGTTTTCTACAAAGCCCCCTCCTT